GATTACTCAGAGGAAATTGAACGCCATTGCAGGATTGAATGAGAGAAGGAAGGCCTACCTGGAGGAAATCTGCATTGAGTGGCTGGAGAAGTACCTGTCCTACGGGAAGGAGACGCTGCTGAGGACAGGTGAGCCTCTGGATCCAGGTTGGACTTTCCTCCTTTATGGCCGGATTTCTTGTGCACATTCGGCCCCTTTGGGTTCCTGGTCTGCAGTCTGACTGCCCAGGAGGGAATCCTCCCCCTCCCCTTCCAGCCCCTCTCCATGACGCAGGAAGCCCTGATTGGTTCCCCTTGCCAGGCCGCCATTCAATCGACCAGGAAATGCAGCCTCTGCCTGGCGGGTGTCTGGGTGGATCAGGCAGGCAAAGTACTTGGGGGTGTCCTTTTCATTGCCCACAGTGAGGCAATAGGAACACTTGGGGTTCTTCGGTGAAACCCCAATAGCCAAACTGTAGTCAAGTGTGAGAGGCACCCTTAATTTTCCCCCATTACAGTAGTGGTCAAAATTGTGAAAACGTTTTGGGAAAAGTCTATTTTTGATGGCTAATAACACCACTTTTTTTAGAATAGTACCATAAAATTATAGATCAATGGAAAGATAATTTCATCAAAGTTGTAATCCAACAAAGTTTGTTCAATTATCAGTACTGTGTTCTATGAAAAGTTCTAGCCAAATAACCAGAAAAAGGAAGCACAACTTGCTTAGGCTGATATCAGGTAGCTTTCCTTCATCTGATTGTAGCCAATGAGCATGAGTGTTTAGAGAGCCAGTCGGGTGTCTTCTTGTTTTGGCAATGAGCCAATCGGATCACAGTCGGATTCAGTTTTATTGATGTCATGTATTGAAGCTGAGAGAAGGACGTTTGTCAGTGTGTTATGTGATCGCTGTCAGGTTGGTTGGGGGGTTTTTTTTGTGTTCTTTCATTTAGTGAGCTTGTAAAACATAGTAAGATTTCCACAATTTTGGCCACTACTGTAACTCTCCTTCCCTCCACATCCCACAGGGGGCTCCTTCCCTGCCCTGCACCCTAACCCTAACCCTAACCCATGCCCACCACTAGAGGGCTCCACTTCTACCATTAATAACACATCCTCAGAACCCCAATTGGGCAAAAAGGGCCAAGGTTGAGGGGTTCTTTTCTTCCCAAAGTTTCTGTGGATCTTTCTCTTAAACCCCAAACAGGTTCCCTCAATTCTGACTTAGTCTTTCCTCCAAACAACCCCCCGCCCTCTCTCTCTCCCTCCCTCCCTGGAAAGGACTGAGAATCAGGAGTTCTTGTGGTTGAGCATTTTCCAGATCTGGACCATTTCCTATAACTCTTGGAGACGCTGCAGGTGTGGAGAGGGAAGTAGTGGGAGACTTTCCTGTCCCTCCAAGGTTCCCCTCCACCTTCCAGGCTCTGGAGGGGCTCAGAGTTAATCCCAGGGGTGCCGTTTCTGCAGAGCCCCCAGAGGTGACCATGAGCAGCAAGACGGAGATGGAGGATGGGATGGAGACGCACGTCTGCCGCCTGGATGGCTTCTACCCCAGGGAGATCGATGCCTCCTGGACGAGGGACGGGGAGGTCTGGCTGCAGGACACCCTCCGTGGCTCCGTGGCCCCCAACGCGGATGGGACGTTCCACGCCTGGCTCAGCATCCGGATCGATCCCAAAGAGAGGGGCCGCTATCGGTGCCACGTGGAGCATGATGGCCTGGAGGAACCTCTGGACGTGGCCCTGAAGGGTGAGAGTCTGCAGGGAGGGGAAGGCTGGGCTCTTTGGCAGGCTGGAGGGTTGTGGGAGAGGAATCTGACCCCCAAATGTGAGCCTACTTGAGGTTTGATCCACTGGTTTTTCCATTGTGTAAATTGGTGAAGCTGCAGGGACCAGTCCATAGAACTGGCTTCAGTGATTTTAAGAGAAGCAACAGATCCCATCACAAGAGTTGGCCGATCCTGATGAAATGGCCTCAGATCCTCTCTTAGCCTTTCTTTCTCCCGTTTCCTGCCTCCAGCAGAAAAGCAGCAACTACTCTGAGCACCAGAAACCGATCTGCTTTTGTTTAGAATCCCCAAAATATAAAAATGAAGAGGAATCTGGAAGCCCCTTTTCTGAATGCCTCATTTGATTAAAATGGATGAAGTTTGGCTGATTTCAGGAAATGCCTAGAGTGGCTGGTCTGATGGCTAACATGGCAATCCTGCACCAAGCAGGGGGTTAGACAGGATGACCTCTTAGGTTCCTTCCTTCCAAGTGTAGGATTCTAGGTGTGATGTTCTTCATTTATGATATAAACATCTAGAGTGCAAGTATTGGGTGGGCGATATTTGGCTGGATGGGAAACGGAATATGAGCCAGAAGCACAAAGTACCTTAAAAGAAGGAATGTGGAATTTTTGGCTACGCCAAATAAACAATGACTTCCAAACGATCAAGGGAATCGTCTCCCTCTGTTCTGCCATGATCAGACCTTTCCCTCAAGGAGAACATCCAGTTCTGGGCAACACCCGTTAATGCAGATTCACAGCAATTGGAAGAAATCCACAGTAAAGCCACAAGGCTGATCAGGGTCTGGAAACTGAATCCTCGGTAGATGTATAGACAGGAATCAGCATGTTTTAGTCTTGAGAAAAGGACGGTGGTGGAAGACCAATCTTAGAAAAAACAAAGAAAATGAAACTGTATACTTAAAAAAAAGGACAGGCGACATGACCGCTTTTACTTTAAATAATAAAATGCAAATGCTCAAGCTTAAGAAAAAAGATAGCATTCAGAGCTGCCCAATTCCACCCAGAGTCATGACAAAACGTTTTTATTTTTTCACAAATTTTGTTGCTGAAGTTTCTGTTTCTGTAAACGGCTGAGAGTCACCAGATTGCAAACTGCCGCTTTGAGCTGAAGAGCTAAGGATGGAGGTCAGTTGTCCTCATGTTGGGCTGGGGTGAGAAGAAGGCAGCATCATGAGGAGGGGTCTCCATGCTAGCTCTCCAGAGGGACACGAAGAGGAACCCTTTTTAAGTTGGGGGATTCCCGGTCCTTTGACTGACTTAGGTCCCTCACCCAATTGGGATGATTGTTTGAGGTTCTCCTTCAATGATCGGCTCTTCCTCCCAATTCAGAACCAAAATCCAACCTGGGGCTCATCCTCGGCTGCGTTCTGGCTGGTCTTCTCCTGGTGGGTGTGACTGTTGGGATCTTGGCATTCCTCAGTAAGTATCTTTTTCTGGGTGATTGAAGGAAGATGGGGAGGTTCCTCCCAAGTCTCCCCCTTTGGGGAGCTTCTTCTGGGCTTCCTCCTCTCCTGTTTTCCCTGCCCTCTTGGGGAGCACCTGAGATCTCGGCCTCTTGCTGGGACTCCAGTCTTGATTTTGAGTTGGGACAGTCCCATCTTCTCCTGAGTTGGGAAGAGGCATCCCAGTTCTGTCCCATTCAAAGGCTTTGGTCAAAGAGCAGCAGAGAAGGATTTCCATGAAAATCTTCCTCCCCTCCCAGCTGCTGCTGCTGCTGCTTCCCCCAATTCCCCTCCGTCCATCTCAGAGGCAGCAGGTCTCCCTTGGGGCAAATCGGGTGGTGAAGTCTGAAGATCTTCCTCTGGCTGTTAATAAGAGTGGCCAGGAGAGGTTGTGGCTAGACAAATGTGAGAACCTTTCCTGGGGCTCTTCTGCATACAGAGGGAGAGACTGGATGATCTCTGGTGGGTTCTTTCAAGTTTTCACTGGTTTTTGTCCTTGCAGACAAGCGTCAAGAAGGCTACAGAGCAGCATCAAGTGGGTGATTTGTCCTCATTACATGTGAGCTCCAATTCAGAGCGAGAATCAGAGGCAATGTCAGTTGAGATGTGTGTATGTGTGTCCAAGCACAAAAGAAGCTCATGAAGAGTTGTATTATCTTCCTCTTCCTCTCAAGAACTAAGCTGTGGAAGGAAGGCCCTTTTTTTATGACAACCAGGCTATGCTTGGGAGTGGAGACCCCAAGGAGAAACATCTGGGACAAGGAATCTTGAAGAGGAGGAGAAGACCCAGCTGGGTGGACGATCCCTCTGACTGAGACGCTGCTCTGTTTCCCACGAAGGTGGAAAGGAAAAGCTCGGCCACCACATGATCAGCAGGAGGCATTTTGAGAGGAAAGGAGGTTTGGAAGGTGCCAGCTGGATCTCCTCTTGGTCTCCCACCACAAAGGCTCTCCAAGTATGAATGGATTGGAACAAGAGACTTTAGAGCCATCTGTATGTTGTGTTCCTTCTGGGTGTGGGTCTGGTGAAACCAGAATTTATTTGGATAGTTTGGGACAATTTTGCTAGGGAATCCGAGGAGCAAATCCTCCAGAGAGAAAAGAGACCTGGGTAAGTCAGGACGGGGTGACTGAGATTTTGTCTTCCCAGGAGATGTGGGGTAAATTTGGTCTTGGGCATCCAGAGCGAGCGGATGGGGCCAGGGAACAAGGTGGGGAAACAGCAAAGGTTTCCTTGGCTTCCTTTTACACACACACAAACACACCCCTGTGTCTTCCTTCCCCTCCCTATAAAGATGCTTTATGGATCCGAATAGCCCCACATTCAGTGGTGGGATTCAAATATATGAACAATTGGTTCTCTGTGTGGATTCTGCTTCCGGAAGTCCATTCTGGGCCTGGGCAACAAAAAATTAGCTACCAGTTCTGCCGAAGTTGTGCGAACTGGCTGAATCCCACCACTGCCCACATTGCTACCAACCCATTTCCTTCCAGTTAAGGTGAAGGTCTCTTTTTGCTCCATGGACACAACGAGGGAGTGTTGTGTTCTTTGTATTCCCCCCCCCTTAATCCCCTATGCATATCCTGATCACCCATTAAGGGTGATTGCCTTTCACCATTGATCGCCCATTAAGGGTGATTGCCCTTCACCATTGATCGCCCATTAAGGGTGATTGCCCTTCTCCATCTGCATACAGTTTCATGCCCGTTGCTGGTTGGCTAACTAGCAACAG